ATCTTCCATGACGACCCTTATGTCCCCGAATAATAAACTGGACTCAGACCCCTCCGGGAAGCCAGTTGATGCTACAAACTACAGGGCCATCATTGGATCTTTGCTGTATCTCACGTCTAGCAGGCCTGATATTGTCTTCTCCACATGCTTATGTGCTCGAAATCAAGCTAATCCGAAGGAATCCCATCTGACTGTTGTGCGTCGAATCTTACGATACCTTAAAGGCACTGTGAATCTAGGCCTTTGGTATCCCAAGCATTCAGGCTTTGACCTAGTCGGATATTCGGACGCTGATTTTGCGGGTTACAGGATGGACTGCAAAAGTACATCGGGAGCCGTCCAGTTCTTGGGCGAGAAGTTAGTCTGTTGGTCTTCCAAAAAACAGAATTGTGTGTCAACATCTACATCTGAGGCCGAATACGTCGCGGCTGCTAGTTGTTGTTCACAAATATTATGGATGAAGACTAAACTCAAAGACTACGGTTATACATTCCGCCATATCATGATCTACAGTGATTCACAGAGCGCCATCGCCATCACCAGCAACCCAGTTCACCACTCCCGCACCAAACACATTGATCTGCGTTATTTCTTCATCAAGGACCACATGGAAAAAGGAGATATTGATATGTACTTTGTAAGCTCAGAGCTTCAATTGGCTTACTTGTTTACTAAGGCATTGGATGAAAAAAGATTCCAGCTCCTAGTCTCCAAGTTGGACATGTTAAACCTCGAGCCTGTTTAAATTTCATCTCCACTGGTCCGAAAAGAGTGTGTGTGTGGGACTTGTAAAAAGCATGTGTGGGTGTGATCTGTAAATAGCGTGTGTGTGTGTTGCATGTGTCAAGGGGGAGAAAACCCAAAAAGAACAAAAATAGTGTGTGTTGCATGAGTCAAGGGGGAGAAAAAGAGAAAAACATCAAAAAGAGTGTGCGTGCGTTGCATCTGTACATAGTGTGTGTTGCACTCATCAAGGGGGAGAAAAAGGACAAATTTATCACGTTGCATGTGTGTGTATTTTTTTGCACCAATTGAGTGGGAGCTCTATTTTTTTACTAATTGGGCCTCGAAAATCATTTTAAATAGGCCTTATGAGCAAGCCCATCCGTTCGGGCCCAACTTTTACGGAAAAGACTCAAACCCTTGATTTCTCGCATATAGAAGGCCTCTGAGAACTCGAACGACTCTTCATCGTTCTCATTCGTTTTTTTGCAAACCTCGCAAACCAGAGCTCTCTCGAAAAATCTCACAAACCAGAGGCCTAAACCCTTCGTCTTTTCCCCCAACTCTCCTCCATCTCTCATGTTCTCACTTCAAAGGTAGTATAACGGGGCTATCAATCTTCTCTTCTACTCTTCTCCATCGCCACCCGCTGAGTTTTCGAAACAAAAACCCAAATTGAAAATCGTTCGGTTAAAGTTCAAAAAGGGGTTTTTACGGTTGATTTGAAGGTCGTAATTGATCATTGTATCGTTTTTGCGTCTCTGAATTGTATATTTTTTGCAGGTGGGATCGTCGTTTCGAGATTCATGATCTCGAGTTTTGGATCTGTTGATCTTGATATCATCGGTTCATCTTCGAGAAGAGATTCGACATTTGGATCTCGAGCTTTAAAACTCGAGATCTCGATCTCGAGATTTAAATCTGGTTATCTTGATCTCGAGATTTAAACCTCGATATCTCGATCTAAATCTCGATATCTCGATCTCGAGATCTAAACCTCGATATCTCGATCTCGAAATCTAAATCTCGATATCTCAATCTCGAGATTTAAACCTCGATATCTCGATCTCGAGATTTGAATCTCGATATCTTGATCTCGAGATTTGAATCTCGAGATCTCGATCTCGAGATTTAAACCTCGAAATCTCGATCTCGAGTTTTAAACTTCGAGATCTGGATCTTGAGATTTAAAAACTCGAGATCTCGAATCTCGAGATTTTGACTTAGATTTTTTTTAACAAAAAGGGTCCACCTGCACCCATTTTCTGAAAACTCCAAAAACACAATCTTTCACAATCAAATCCCAAAGCAAACAAACAACGGACTAATGTACTGACCCCCTGCTTTTACAGTTCATTATGGCAGGAACACATCAAACTCAAATTGACGACACCACCTACCCAAAAGGGAAGTGGATCAAGGTGCTGGATAACAACTACCAGCTAGACCTCACCGTGTTCAAATGCCAGGACCCGGTCATTCCTGCTATCATGAAAGGTCACTATCTCTGGGCCCCACTCCACAGTGCCAAACCAGTGCTAGAGATATACCTACAACAATTCTGGGGACATATGCATACAGAGTCTGTGAAGGATCGCTCCAAGATCAAGACGAAACTGAATGGTATGCGCGTAATCCTGACGCCGTCCACACTACGATCCACATTAGAGCTGCCAGTCCACGATACATATGATCCTCTGCCGTCCATTCCCGACCTTCTCAAGGGCGTTGCAGCTCTAGGCTGCGCCTCTCTTCTCCCCAAGCTATCCAATTTCAATGGGGCATATCTCCATCACCCATGGAAGAGCCTGTTCGGGCTAGTGAACAAATGCCTGTCACCGAAGCATGCCGGATTTGACAAATGCAACAGGCAGATTCTCCTGATCCTCCACGGTATTGCTTACAACAAAACATGGCTGAGTTGTTCTTCTCAGAGCTCATGGATCTCGTCAAAGCAAAGGAGAAAAAAAAAGTCGGGCACCATCCCATATGCTAGGTGGCTCGGGCTAATCATCCACGACACCATGACCGCGCATGCCTCAATTCCTAGAAGAAGTGATGATCCACATTTCTCCGCTCCAAAGCTTCTCTACTTCAAGACTGACAAAAACCCCGTCAGTGGCCTGCGGATTCCTGGGTTCCTGCTCAATCTTGCCAACCAGTCCAATCCTGCAGTCCAACAGTACAGAGAGAGTGTTGAGAGAACTGCCCCTATGGTTCAGCAAAACCCAGCTGGACCTACCCCGGGGACACAACCGAGTGCACGTGAGGGTCCTAAGAGAGCCCAAAAGCCACAGAAACCAGTGGCCGGTTTGCCCCATGAAGGAAAGTCCGATGACTCTCTCGAGATTAGTCGGACGGCTGAGGGCACCGCAACGGACGCTGAGGAATCTGCTGATGAATCGTCCAGTGATACCCACAATAACACTGACGATGAGGCATCCGATAGCGTGGGTACTGATGGTGATGATTCAGATTCTGATGACGATGGTGATGACAGTGACGATGTCGAGCATACCTATGCTCTAATCTGAAAGGGTAAGCTGCCTGCCGAATCTCCAAAAAGGATAACCGCTGAAGACGCAACACCCATAATCGTCGGCCGACCCAAGACGTTCACCATCAAGGACTTGCAACAATCCAAAAGTGTACACAAAGAAATCTACAGCTCCAAGGCTGACTACGATGAAGCAGCCCACATCATCAAGAATACTCATGATGCCATCATTCGCGAGAAACGGGCAAAAATCAAGAATGACAAATCATCTAAGCCCAAGCCTCAGCCTCGCATCAGGAAGAGCCTAATAGATAAGGCTGATGAGGACATCTTTGCTGGATGTGAACCCTTTATCCAGATAAGCCGAGCTGAATCCCTAAGTACAAGAGCCGATCTTTTCGGTTCCCGAGTAGAAGCCGCAGCATCTGGCTCAACTGCGCATGCACAACCCTCATCCAGCCACTCGTTAGCCTCCCAACTAGCTATCGTTTCAACATCACGGGACTCACCCACCTCTCTGGTTCCTTCCGAATCAGTTGAGCGAATTGTTGGCCAACCGCCCGAGGTCACAACCCCTCCTTCAAACACATCGAGTCTAGGTGTCACATTTCCCACATTTTCTTCATTTTCTAGGACACCTACACTATTCACAGCACATACAGGTGCACCCACCCTGAACGCAACGACCAGAGCGCAAGCTATGACGGTCGGAAGTCCTGCTATGCCTACAATGATTCCATCATTGAACGCAGGCCACACATCAGCTATCTTCACTGATGATGTGACAACAGTTACATCCCCCGTAACTGGCCATCCCACCTTTGAAGATGTCAATGTTCTCCTGAATCGCTTCCTGGATTCCACCATAAAACCATGGGTGCAAGAAGCAATGACCGCTCTTGCACAGGAATTTAGGACCACCCAAGCGGTTCAGCCTGAACATCCCACACCCCAACCTGAACCTGAACCCTTCATCTCCCATACTCAACCGATATCTTCCACAACCCTCTCTCATCACTCCATCAACCAAATACACATCTCTTCACCTTCTCGGGGCACCCATGATACAGAACCAGTATTATCCCCACACCCGACCACACCTTCCATCGATCTCCTATCGCTACCCTTCGACACCTTGGCATCGGCTATGTTGGACCATCTCCTCAACATACCACAAGCCAACCTCACCCCCTACTAGCAAGCCATCCTCAATGCCCTCCTCTCTTCACCTGAGACCAAGAGCAAATGCCATGACAGTCCTCATTGTCGCAAACGTTCCCATGAGGACCCCGATGATTCGGATCCTCATGAGGGGGAGAACAAGCGGCCACGAACACTCAAGCAAATTGCTTTCACCAGCCACACTCCACAGCCCGATCAACCTGAAACCTCCACCAACCAACAGCCACCCGTAGCCAACCAAACCCAAGCCAAACTTTCTAGCCTGGTCGAGCTAGATGAAACATCCCGAGGCGTATCTCCTAAAGATACCAACTGAGGAGGGGATGGAAGTCCTGATGATGCTACTACAGGTACATCTTGTAAGTCAGGCCATCAGTTAGAACCTCGTTCGATGCTGATGACAACGGGAAATCCTAGTGACCCTGGTGTCCCAAGTAACAGGTCTCCGTCACTACAAGATCAACCAGCTCCTACCACTATGTCATCAGACGAAATGCACGATCAACTTGAGGATATCATCATCATGACAAATGGCCCAGACAGTGGACGAAGATGGATCAAATAATGCAAGATGAAGAACAACAAGAAATGCAAAGGAGCTGGCTCTTACGGGAACTGATAAACAAATGTGCGGAGGACATAATCAGGCTCGATGATGAGGAACGAAAGGAAGGGGAAAACTACAAGGAAACTCAAAAAGAACATGAATCTGTTGTCAGACAAACGGCGGGACGACTTCCCAAGACAGAGAAACCTTGGGAAAATGTACGCATCAAAGCCCCCTTCCAAGAGGAAATCAGAGAGCGTATATGGCGTAGACCGGAGAAAGTCAGACCTCTGAATGAACTAAAGCTGCGTGGGCTCACTCATCTCAAAGGGAAGCAGGCATGAGGTCATCTTCATATGCTGATGCAACAGTCAACTGGGACTCAACGAGAGCTGATGGAACAGGATCTGAAATCCAATATTCTTCCAATTCATCAAATCCTAAAGGTCAAGGCTGAGGATTATCATGGAGTGAAATTCTACTCATACAAACTTCAACGCACCGATGGAAGTGAATTCACATGTCAGGAAAACGACTTCATCATGCTCAAACCAGATGACATCTACCAAATGTTTATGGCATACAGATACCTCCCAGTCAGAAAAAGTAGAACATATAGCGAAGGCCTTGCAGGAATTAAGAGGTTCATGCTTAGACAAGTCAGAGTTCACTCATCTCACGACCTACAGATGGCTATTGAGTGCAACATGACAAAGACAAATCTAACACAACCAAGACTGTATGGTCCAGAGCTCGAGGACTTCCTTGCATACCACATCTTCTTCACACCACCAGCAGTTCCATATCTAAATCACAAGAATGAAAAACGCCTGATGATGGTTAGCGAAGTTGAGAAATACTGTGATGGAACCCTGAAGATCATCAAAGAACAGCTGCTGAAGATGAAGAAACAACTGGATCAAAAACTTGAGGAGGCATCGTCATACATTCTAAAGGAACATTCGACGTTGGAAACCATTCTAAAAGCCATTGACGATCGCCTGGACAAGAGAAACATGCTGAGTCAATATGAGCACGCGCTAAACATGAGGAAACACTATTTCAAAGCTCAGAATCAATAGCAAAGTGACACTTGATCACAAAGGGGGAGATTGTTGAAGATCATTTAATTGTGAATCAAGTGTGTCACATATCTTGTAAAAGATTAGCTTTATTATATCCTTGTATTCAATATTTGTATTTATTAGGATAAAGGATATGGGGCCAATGTTTCAGGCCCATATCAGGCTGAAAGCCTTTCCGCCAAAAAGGCGCTTCAGGTTTAGGGTTGCGTTAACTTTCGTACTCGTTCCAAATAGCCTTAGCGCAATATTCTTCTCTGTACGAGTTCACGGTATATCAAAGAAGGTTATCATCGATCATCTTGTGTTCATCTTTATCGTTAATCTTCTACTTGTTATACTCTTAATCTTTGCTGTAGTAGAAAACAGGGACTAACATGAAGGTCTTTCGATGGCCGGTCGTCAGTAGTGGGCCATTCAAGCCATCATTATGACCTGTGCGGGAGCTATCTTTCTATTTTGATGCAGCTTCTCTTGCGAGGCTGCTCGATCGCGAACAGGAGTAGGAGCTTTTACCATCCCTGTTCGTTGGCATTTTCACCTTTCTGCCAAGAAAAAATTCAGAGGCAGCCACCGGTCAGGAGGTTCTCCATATTCACTTTTGAGTTGGGAGCTTCCGTTTGGCTTCTGAAGCCTTTGATCAACGACGGTTGGTTTCGGGTCTGAAGGTCAGATTACCCTAACGGTCGAGCGGCGTAATGTAACTGCATAGCTACGAGATAAGGTCTAACTCGTGCAGCAGTTTTCTCCTGACGGCCCCTGCTGATCTGGTTCGCAGATGCCGTTCGGGGAGGAAATGCTGGGCAGGACCAGGATGCTCCCACCCCTCTCTGGTTCGGGAGGGTATGCAATAAGGATCTCCTGGAGCGTCCCTGTGGATTCCCCTGTTCGTCCAGTTCTACCGATAGCTTGGTGGCACAGCGATTAGCAGTTATGTTGGGATGTGGGGTTTAGGATGTACTGTTCCTTCTTGAGGTCCTTACACCAGGTTCGTCCCTGCAAGTTCCCTTAGGAAAGACTCGATTGCTTCCGTAATCACTCGGGTTCGCTATGGCCTGATGCTGACCAGCCTACCATCAAGACTGCTCTCATGGATACTGCGCTCAGGTTCTGCCAGCGCATTTAGAGGACGTTCAGGAAGTACTGCCGTCCGGGTTTTGGTCGTCGGAATGTGGGGTCCCCGGGTCATGTCGCCCTCCTGTCATTCGCAGACTGCCCCATGTGACAGCTTTGCATCCACCTTGATAGTGGTAACGTGAGCCTTATCCGCCATCCTCCAAGGTAGTGGGCTAGCGGGTCCCACCAACGGTAGTGATGGTGGTGTTCCATGAGAAATCCCATAGCCATCTTCTTTCAATTTTCCCCTGATAGTAGAACAATTTGCACCATTCGTTTGATCTTCTGCACCAATCTAGCCTTTACCTAAGGACATAGAAATGGGTTTTTGCATCTGACATATCTGATTTCCTCTTGATGGTTAGCACCGCCACCACCTTCTATCCCCTCTTATCCTGTAGATCTATTTGCAAAGAAGGCAGTGACTTCCATTCTTCTTGTTTTCTTCCCCGAGAACATCTTTTTCTCTATTTTTTCTTGCTGAAATCAGTAACTTTTGGTATCAAAAAATTTGTAGAATCAAGAACACGTTTTGTGCTTTTTGATCTGTTTCCCACAAACGGCGCCAATGTTGAGTTTAAGTCCAACATAAACTAATAAATATATATATAATTTGGTATAACACTCGATTTTTACGTGGAAACCCGGAAAGAGAGAAAACCACGGGACTTTCTAGGCTAACGTCCAAGTCCACTATTTCTCATTAACTCTCCTCACCAAAATACATACACATATTGAAGCTCCATTCATGGAGTATTGTAAGCTCTAAGGAAAAGAAGAAGCAGTAGCCAGGGAGGAGAGAGCCCAAAAAATCACATCTCTAATATGAAAGCCAAGCTTCCTATTTATAGAAGGGGGGATGGGGGCTTCCTAGCCTAATGGGCCGGACGGCCTTATCGGGTCGATATGGGCCGGGCAGGCCGAGTGGGCCTCAATGGCTCTTAATTGGCCTAAATGGGCCTCGCCGATTGGGTTCCGTACTGGGGCAATGCCTTGGGCCTCTGAATAGTAATAGGCCAGAATAATATTCCCCAACATTTCTTTTTCATTTATCCTTTCAAAAGAAAGGTTAGTGTTGTTATATGTGGCAATCTTATTGTTTGTCATATTTATTAGTGGAAAGAAGGTTACTATGAAGGGATTATTCATGATATGGTTCACATTGTTCTACTAGAAACATTTTTAAGTAATGTTTTTTTTCTTTTTATTCGATACTCGTGTTGTTACTTTTGCCCAATGCAAATATGTAACTTAAATAATAATAAAGTGATCCTCGCATTTATTTTATGAACTTCATTGGATACTTTTATTATAATTCATATTTCAAATAAGTATATGGTTTACTGTTTGTCATAGATATAAATCCCAAATAGCGTACCACTCATAAGCCCATAAATGGACAGGACCGCCCTATGTATATCATAGCTTACCCATTAAAAAACAAAAAAGTTGCACCTACCCTTGTATCCATTTTTATACCACCATGTTAGTGCATTTTTTTTTTACCGTACCCGTTCACATACAAAATATGTTTGTGCAAATTTTGCACAGACAAAATAAGATATATTTTGTCTGTGAACCGGATTCACAGACAAAAAAAAATCGTCACAGACATGGTGGGTGTAAGGGTGGGTAAATAAGCCTCCTACTCTCACCTCTTACCTAGTTTTTTTTTAGTTTAACAACATTATTTATGAATTACCTATTTTAATTACTCTGCGTTTTCTATATAGTTTTTTATTTATTTTATTAAGAAAATTTATTTTAATATTTTTCACAATTGAATCAATGTCATCACTTCAGCCAAACTTTCACTAATTTAGTAGATTGGATTTAATTTACCAACCGACTTCAATTCTGAAAATATGCCAATTTGGATCATTCCACACACTTATGACCGATCTTACGGGGTATATTTATAAATATTAAAAGTTATAAGGGTGTATTTATAAATATTAAAAATACAATTTTTTAAGAAAAATATACATATATTATCTTCTGACATCTACCCGTTCATGGCATTGAAACATTTTACATTTTCAAGATACTTAGATACAATGTTCTAAAAGGCCCTAGACAATTATACTGTACACCCGGATGTACGGTCCTCACCACACATCCGGGTATTTTTGAAATTATTATCAACTTCTCCCAGTCCATCGTCCGCTGCACTGCCCCGATTCCTTCTCCCGGGCCATCACCGTTTCCGTCTATGTCTGTGCCGATCTATTTCTGAGTCAGACAATTCTGATGAAGTTTGTGATGGTGAAGAAGAAGAAGTTGGCGCATCATCCTCTTGCCTGCGCTTCTTCTTTGCGCGTCTTCTTTCTGCTCGAATGCCCCCCCCCCCCCCCCATGTTGCTCGGTGCAGCGTTGGTCAATTGACTACTGGTGTGGGAACGTTTTTCTATTTTGTCTTTCTTGTTCTTCTTTTCTTCCTTTTATGTTTTTCCTTCTTTAGTTCTTTCTTTTTCTTAATTTTTTTAATCTTTATTCAATTATAAAATATTTTAGATATTAATGTTTTGTTTTTCTATATCTCATTTTGTAATTTGTGTATGCTCATTTAATATTCGTTTTATGCTCATTTTAAAATGTCATATCAATACACAAATGAATATTTAGCACATATTGAGCACAATAGAAATGAATTTTATGTTAAATTCAAATGAGTATAACGTCCAAAATGACTGAGCACACAAAAATGCGCTTTTAAATTTTTTGATACTCATTTCGTAAGTTATGTATGCTCATTTGGTAATAATGGTATGCTCATTTAATAGAAAGCTTGATTTTCATCTCAATAAATGAGGTTTGGTGCTCAATGAACATATCGTTATGTTAAACTAACAAATCTTACGATTTTCATATCAAAAAACATTTTATAAGTTACGTATACTCATTTGGTACTGATGTTATGCTCATTTTAAAATGTTATATCAATGCATATTTTAAAAGTATCATATTGCATTAAATTCGCATATGGAAATTCATAGGCCGGAATGTATTATAGATATAATTCAATTACATTTTATAAAAGAAAAAATAAGGAACAAAATTGAATTAGAAGATATGAAGCAAAAATCAGGATACTCATTGTTAGCCTCTAAATACTCAATAAAATAAGTCAGATGCTCACTACATGTACACTATTGCTCATTTAGCGGAAACTGTGATATTTCACTTATATTACAAAAATGCCACCGAATTGTTTTTGGCTTGTATTCATTGTTGGGCTGTCTTTCTTATTTGGGCCGGGTGTACATACACCCGGATGCACCATATACGAACTGGCGTTAGTCGGGCGTCAGCCCATCGCCTAGTGCCTAGTCGACTAGGCGGGCGCCTAGTCGGGGACTAGTCGGAGACATAGAAATTACACTTTCATATATATTTTTGTTAATATGATAAGTAATATTGTGTTTTTATGTATATAAAATACATATATAAACATACATTAATAAATGTGAATGATAGAATTACCACATCTAATTGTACGTAGTATCTGATAACTAATCACTTAACTTCATTATGTAGTAAAATGTTAGGTATATATACTTTAACTTTACAGATATAAAGAAAGGAAGTTGTAAATTAAGATAAAACTATATATATATATATATATATATAGTTTTTATCTTAGTTTACAACTTCCTTCTTATATCTATGCTAAAGTTAAAGTATTTATATCGTTTAGAAAATTAAAATTAAATAGTAAAGTAATGTTCGGTGAATCTTGACGGCCTAGGCTGCCGATTAGGCGCTCTGGACGGGCAACTACGTGCCATAGGCGGTCGACTAATTCACTTAGATGACAAACCAATTAGGCAGAGCGCCAAAACGAAAATCGGGGCGCCCAACCACCACCTAGCGCCTAGGCGGGGACTAGTCGGACGCCTAGAACGATTTTTAGAACAGAGCTTAGATATAAATTTATATTTCATCTCATATACAGTAGTGCACCTCAAAATATATACTACCTCCATCCCGAAAAGGTTTGCCAAATTGACTTTTCTTGGTAAATGATGGCAAACTTTGAGCAATGATTTTAGTTTTTATATTTGTATATAATTTATAAATTTTATACTTTTATGAAAATATTTTCAATAAGGAATATTTTGATATGAATTTCATATTCTAAATAATTTCGTATTAAAATATATCATTGGTCAAAGTTGACTGTGCTTGACCAAGAAAAGTCAATTTGGCAAACCTTTTCAGGACGGAGGGAGTATATAGTCAATAAGTCATTAACTTAAAACGGGAAATAAGTCAAACAACTAAAGTTTTGAAATTAAAAGTGCAAGTATTCAAAGTTCTAGAATAATAAAGATAGAAAAAAATATTTTAAAAGTTCTAATACATATCTCAGTTGGATGTATTAATATCCAGGGATAATTAGAATTAGGGATGAGAGGATGAGTAAACTAGAGATGAGTGAATTAGGAATATGCCCATTAGTTGTGTACCACATAAAAGCATGGCAAAAATTATTTTTAACTTTTCATTTTTTAAGAATTTTATTTTGTAAATTTTGTTTTTTTAAGTTGATACGTGTATCCGTCAGGATACGAGTATCCGAAATTTTCAAAATAATCATAAAAAATGGAAACTTTTAAAAATTACAGATACAACACGAGAACGTACGATACGAGTATCCTAGAGTATCAGATAGATGAACGTTTCTGATACGTCGATACGATACCCTAGTGAAATATCCGTGCTTCATAGGCGGGAAGCATACTTATGCTATAGATATTATTAGACTTCAAATACAAATACACAATTGCCTTACTTTGCTCCAAGTAAAGCTTTTAAAAGACCTAGAAAGTAGTTCACCACAACAAAACAACAACAACATCCAAGTCTTAATCCCAAAAGAATTTGAGGTCGGTTAACATTAATCGATCTATGATATCAATGCCAAATAGAGAAGACAACAAGAAGAGAGAAAATCAAAGTAAGATAAAACGGATGAAATAAAGATAAATAAATATAAGATGATAATAACATAAGTGATGGAGTATTAACTCCTAGAGAGAAGTGAGAGCTAGAGAGAGAAGTGCAATAACTCTTTGCAATAAAAAAATTTGTGAACCCTATACAACTACCCCCAAGGGGAGTATTTATAGAGGAAATTAGGGCTGGGCTCCCAAGTCTTGGGCTTGGGAGGCCCATTTACAATTGGGCCACTATTGGGATGAGTACAAAATATGTAGAAATAATCAAGTGTGAAGTCCGGTTCTGGGAACCCTTTGGGGCCGACGAAGCCATGGCCGATGGAGACACCCGGTTCTCCTGGCTTCTGGGCCATATTCTGAGCTAATATCTTTCTGGCCGATGGTGGGCCATCTGACCGACGGAGGCCCCACTGGGTGACAGCTATGCCTCTTATTCTTCTGAGTATGTGGGTCCTGGGGTCGAGGCCCGTATACTCCATCAAGAGTCCCCCACTCTCTGAGCTGAGACGTAGACGAAGTGAGGGAGAGTAGATTCCATAGTCTTGATGTCTTCTGGCCGATGTGGCCATTTCCTGTTTTTGGTTCTTCTTTTGGCCATTGTATGCTCCTCGCTGTGGACGAAGAAGGCTGATGTTCCTCTGGATGGGGTGAGTTCGCTTGTTTAAGGACGATGAGTGTCCTGATTTATGGCCGATATGTGCTCTTGATTTGAATAGCTGATGCGGGTGCTGTTTCTTCTTTCTGGTCATTGGCGGTTGTCTTTAGTGATTTAGCCGAGGAGGCCTCATGATTGATTTCTTGCTTAAGGCCGAAGTGGTGATATCCATAGCTTGGTTTCCATCTTTGAGGACGATAGTGTTACTGATCCAGAAGAAGTTTGTGTGCACTCTGATCTCATGGACGATGGTAACCTGAGGACGTCGGGTTCCTGTTTTTGTTTCTTGGCCGAGAGTGGAGTGTGATCTCAAAGCCGTTGAATGGCGCGCGTCCAGGGACGATACGTGTTACATTTTGGGGGGAGTTATAGTTCTTTGTTTGCTGACTTTGTTGCGGTCGAAGGTGCACCACAAGGTCATGGACGTTGTGGTGCATATATGACATAGTGTTGTAGTTGTGGACTTGGTGTATTTTTGGATTTCTTTGATTTTGTCCTCTCTTGTATTCCAGAGGCCGCTGTAGTCCCACAGTCCCCCACTGCTTCAGGCCGAAGAGTAAGCGAGGGGTGAAGGAGTAAGGTGTAACCCTAGGCCGAAGCGGGATCCTTGTATTCCCCTGAATCCAACCCCTTGGCGATTCCTGACCAAGGTAACCCTGTGGAAGAACCCTTGGAGGCAGGCCGCTTTCAAGAAGTTATCATCATGGTTTTATACAAGGCCGAAGGCTTTTGGGTTGTTTTGTGCTTTGCTGTTGTGGCCGTTGAAGGGGCCCTGCTATTGGTAGTGTGTTTAAGCCGATATGGGCCTACTTTGTGGTGTGACCAGCTGTTGAAATGATTATTGGCTGATGAGGCCGATGTAGTCGTGCCCTGTGGAGTCAGATGTTTCTTCTTGGTCTGGCCGTTGAATGTTTTGGCCGTTATGGACGCTGACTGCTGATACGTAGACAATGGACTGGTACTGATGGAAGTAGGCTTGGCCCATCTTCTGAACCGGTGGTAGTTTGTTGGGCCTTGGGAGTGGTGGCCGTTCATGTGGCCAATGGGGGAGCGCCACGTGTAGTGACCGTTAGGGGGGAGGTCTATAAATACCCCCCTCCATCCAAAGAAACTCCCTATTGCATTCTCAGAGAACGAAGTGCTGCCCAAATTTCTAGAGAGATAAAGTGCTCGCTGGTGTTCTTCCCTTTCTTCAAAACTTCAAAGGTCAGTTTATCAAAAGATGAAAAGATAAAAGAACATAAAAAAGCAAGAAGATAAAAATAACATAAGAAGATAAATGATAAAAAGAGAGAGAGAGGACAGTTAGAAAAGACATGAATCGTCCACACGGATGTGCGCCCTCCACTTATCTCTCTCCAAAGTCATACTTTCATCCAACCCAAAAAGACGCATATCAATTCTGATTCCTCTAATCCAAGTCTGTTTGGGTCTTCCCCTCCTTTTCTCTGCTTTTTCTCCCCACCCCTCAAGTCGTCGAATAGATGCATCACCCGATCTTCTACGCACATGCCCAAACCACCGCAAATGAGACTCCTGTATCTTATCATTATAGATGCTACTCCCACCTTTTGTACGATTATTCCATTCCTAAATTGGTCTTTTCTAGTATGTCCACACATCCAGCGCAACATACACATCTCTGTCACACTCATCTTTTGAATGTGGCATTCCTTCACCACCAGACACCTTCCGCCATACATTAAAACAAACATAATTGTTGTTCGATAAAATTTACCTTTCAGTCTAGTTGACATACCTCGATCGCATAGAAATCCTGATGCACTCTTCCATTTCATCCACCCATCTCTGTTTTTATGACATACATCTCCATCTAATTTACTATCCTTCTTAATTATTGAACCTAAGTAACGAAACATATCGCACACCGGTATCTTCTTACCATCAAGAGTAATACAATTGTTGCTACTACTTCTACCTCCACCAAACTTGCACTCCATATACTCAGTCTTTCTTCGGCTCAGACTGAAACCCTTTGTCTCCAATATTTGTCTTCATACTTCCAACTTTGCTTTAACACAGATTGTGTCTCATCAATCAATACAATATCATCGGCAAACATCATGCACCACGGTATATCTTCTTGAATTGACTTCGTAAGTTCATCAATGACTATAGCAAATAAGAAAGGACTCAGAGCAGATCCTTGGTGCACTCCGATAGTAATAGGGAACTTTGCGATCCTCCATACACTAGTGTGGACACTTGTAGTACAAGCATCATACATGTCTATGATGATACTGAAATACTTAAGTTATATGCCTTTTCTAGTTAAGGTCCACCAAAGGAATTCTCAAGGTACCCTATTGTCACGCCCCAGACCATATCTAAGCGTGTGTACAACCGCCGTATGACTAAGTGACGTTACTCGCAAGTCAACGTGACTTAATCATACAACGCGTCCATGAACATAATCCATCCATACTCAGTAGTAAACATACATAACAACATTACATTTAAACCAATGAATAGCGGAAATATTCAACAGTAAAGCATGGGCCACAACCAGCCAAAACATGCGCTCACAGGCCCAAAATAGTTTATAGTAAATCAAATATCCATGAGCAAGTGTTTGGTAGTTTGAAATGAAATAAGGAAGCACAGACCACATCTTCCTTGAATGACTTCACCCGTAAGAAGGTGCAGGTAGCAAGTCCTGGCTTCAACCTGAAAATGGTGGGGCCCCCTGAAGGGGTCAGTACAAGTACCGAGCGAGTAGCAAGCTAAATGTAGAGTAACTAATGTTTCAAGTATAAGACCCAAACATAGGGTGATACATACACGTATAATACTTTCCCCCAAGTTATGAAATACATAGCAGTATATATATACTTGGAAATACCCGACTCGTAAGTCATTGTTTATTTGGGAAAATAGTAGTAATCAATATCCTTGACTCAAATCCCAACCCACCCATATATCTATGAGTGTATAGAACTCCTCCTGATCCTAATCAATTCATATTCTGAGTTTTGAGGACAGTACCATCGTCATTGGTTCTTCACCATTTATATATATGAGTTTTGAGGACATTAAAGTCCTTGAGTCCTCCACCATGAGTTTTGATGATATTTGAGTCCTTGGGTCCTCCACCATTTTACCTATGAGTTTTGAGGACATTATAATCCTTGGGTGCTCCACCATGAGTTTTGAGGACTCTTTAGCCCTTGGGTCCTCCACCGAAGTACATGTGAGTTTTGAGGACTCTTTAGTCCCTGGGTTCTCCACCATATGCATATAAGTTTTGAGGACTCTTTAGTCCTTGGGTTCTCCACCAAAATATATATTCCGAGTTTTGAGAACTCTTTAGTCCTTGGGTTCTCCACCATATGCATATAAGTTTTAAGGACTCTTTAGTCCTTGGGTCCTCCATCATATGTATTCCTATGATCTACCTCGTATCAATCTAGATAGGGTCTATATCATAATTATTTATCAAGACTAAACCAAGCCTTAGAGCTTAATCAATAGATATCAAACTTGGCAATTAAATATCATATTCCATGCAATTCCATGCACAATATACTTACATAGGATAACCGGGCCTCGATACGCATTTTCGGTGAATCAAAAATTCGAGGCAGCAGCTTAACCGGTGCCGGTTACCCCTATACCCGGCGCCGGGTCTGTGTAAAAATTCCCAAACCGGCTGGGCAGTAGCTTAACTGGCACCGGTTCAGCCCTATGGCCGGCGCCGGGTTACGTCTGCCCAACGGCGGCGGTCCGTTGACCCCCCGGATGATCCCCGATCGATCCGAAATTTTTATACAACATGTATTAGGTCTTAAACAACCCAAATATCCCATTTTAACCATCCAAAACATCACATATGTTTTTATACACATTTTATACTTTTCACAAGCAAAATCATGTAATATCATTCACATAAGCCAAATAACTTTGACTAAGCACATGCTTAAGTTCCTTTAAACATCATTATAAATACTTATAACATTTCTTTAGGTAATCCTATACTTAACCCAAGAGTTACAAGACATTAAGCCATCCACTCACCTTGAATGAGTTTTTTAGAAGTTCTACCCTTCCCGGTTGAACTCCGGCGAACTTTGTCTAGCTCCGGTGATTACTCCGGTGACTCTTTCAACTCCGTGAAAGCTCTAGGAACACCTTATACAAGTTCCTAACAAGGTTTTGTCATCAAAAAATCCATATCAATACAAATAACCTCTACAAGGTTATTTTTCGGCGAACCGGTCACTTTGGCTTCTAAGTCCGTTCTTAGACTTAGAACCACCTTCCAACCCCTCATTCTACACTCCTAAACATGTAGAACAATCCTAGGGGTCCTGCATATGCTATATAAGCCATATGATAAATAAAAAGTAGAGGAAAAGTTATTATAAGGTTATTACCTTAATCCTTCACATTTTTCCTAACTTTTTCCCTTCTTTAACTTCCTCCTTGGACCAACCTTGCTTGTGCTCGACTTGCAACAATGGAGATGGAGTTTACAGAGCTTCTTCCTCCTTTTTTGGTGGTTTAGGCGAGGTACAATAATGAGGAAAGGGGGGAGGGGTTTCCTTTTTGTCTCATAGGTCAAACGAGTGTGAGAGGGGCCCCTTGGGTGTCAAGATGGTCTCCCCCATCCTTTCAAATGTGCTCAGTCACTCCTTTGCACTAAATCAAGCTCCCTTTGTTTGACAAATTAATGGGGTGGCCCCCACTCATGTGGGTGGTCATCCCAATAAGTCCCGAATTGTACAATCGCCCACCAAAAGTTGTATTTCTCGGACTGTTTTAATTATATTTTATTTTATCGGGCCGAATAAAATATGTCACATGATCCGTTTCACTATAGGCCTTTAGAATGAATATACATTTCCCAACTTTATTTTAGAAGTCTCCGAAATTCATTTCGGACTGTTATCCGTTAAATTCCCAATACCGGTAATTGGGCCTCATTTGACCAATCGGTCAACCCCATGCCTTTGTCATGGCCCAACTAAGATTTCCACCACCATATGTATATTATCTAGACCAAGATGAATATCATATGTGGTCTCAGGAATAAATAGTGGTCCTGCTCCCGATGTGCACCCCACGTGCAATTCACTATTCACGCAAAAGTAATAACAAAAATTTACAACCTCGTAAATTCATTAACCAGTTCATAAGGTTCAATACATGATTTACATAAAAGTAAATATAATTGGGGACGGTGTTACACCTATCATATGCATTTTCTAAGTCAATGAACACCAAATACATATCCTTTTTGGTGTGTCTATACTTCCCCACAACTTGTCTAAGAAGGTGAATGACCTCAATTGTTGAGCGTCCAAACATAAAACCAAATTGATTCTCCGAAACTTTCACACTTTTACGAAGTCTCTGCTCAGTCACTCGCTCCCAAAGTTTCATGGTGTGTCTCATAAGCTTAATCCCTCGATAGTTGGCACATTCTTGTACACCACCCTTATTTTTAAATAGGGGAATGAGAATACTCTTTCACGAACTCACCGGCATTTTATTGTTTCTCCAAATCATGTTGAAGAAACATGTTAGCCACTCAATATCTTTCTCTCCCAAACTTCTCCAAGTCTCGATCGGTATGCCATCTGAGCCCACTGCTTTCTTCCGCCCCATTTTTCATAGCTTCTTTAACTTCTGTTGTTTGAATCCTTCTCACGAAGTCCCGATTTACCATACACTATGGTATAGTGAGATCATCAATACCTTGTACTTTATTCCCGTTGAACAAGGTATCAAAGTATCACCCCCATCTCTCTTTTATTTCCCCGTCCTCCATTAGTACCTTTTGATCGACATCATTCACACACTTAACTTTTCTGATATATTGAGTCCTACGGTCACGAAGGTGAGCAAGTCTGTAAATATCCTTTTCTCCTTCATTAGAGTCCAATTTTACATACAATTTCTTGTTCACTTTTTTTATGGCTTCCTTCAAACCTTTCATTGCTCTTCTTCTAGCCTTCTTTTACTCCTCTATGTTCTCGTCACTCCAACTTTTGCCTAATTTCTTATAGCATTCCCTTTTGATCCTTATTGCTTGTTTCACCTCATCATTCCACCAAGACGTGTCTTTTTTTGTGGCAGACATCCTTTAGATTCTCCGAGTATCTCCTTCGCCACTTTGTTAATAGTGAACACCATTGATAACCACAAATCATCCACATGTGCGTCATTATCAATATACCATACATCTTCCTCCAACATGCATGCATGATGGACGATTACTTTGGTGGAAAGTAGCTAACTACCAAAATAAATTAATAAAAACACAGAAGCACAATGTAAGCATTGCAACTTGCAAGATGATTATTAATATCATAACCTAAAATCAGCTCCACATTCAACAACAGAAAGACATCTTATATTGGTTTCAGTAGACAACATCTATTAACAATAATTGTTCAGCAAATAGATACTTAAAATCTTGGGCACAAACTGTGCAAATATAACATGTGGAAAAAGAAAGAAGAAATCTGCACAAATGGAGATAAAACAATTTTGCATTTAAACTCAGAGGTCAATTTACTGCCCCGATTGGTAAGGGTTGTTCGGCTGAAATGCTTGAATGTGCTAAATGTTTCAGTCATATTCATGCTATCAAATTTAACTTTTAAAGCTTACTTAAAACATGATTTTTATATATTTGCATGACCTTCAATCTTCCTAGCTGGAAAGTGGATCCATACAAACTTTTATATATGTGCAGATTTCTTCCTTCTTTTTCCACACGTTATATTTGCATGACCTTCAAACTTTTAAAGAACAATTTTCTCATAAATCCAACATTTTTCAGCAAGGATGGGATCACGTAGATAACAATTGTCCATGTACCATCCCACTAAATCTAATCTCAATATCAATCCCAAGTGGATATATTTTATTCAAATGCTGAATACAGATCGAAACTTTCTACAGAGGGCAGTTCTGTCCATAGAAAACCTTGCCGAGCACCACTTGCCTATTCTCAAAAGAATTAATATAACCAATAAAACATTCAAACTTTTATACAGCGGATGCATACACTTACCAACCTTCAAATGGCTTTGCTAGTCATAATCAGTGCACTTCACTTCTATTCACAGATAAAGTTCATTGAGCCTCAGTTGATGTTGATGGATACTTTGTGGCTTCCAATATTGGTTGACTCTCTTCATTACGTGTTTCTATTATTCTACCGGATTTACAGGTAAAGTAAAGAACAGTAAACATCATAGAATCCAAAAGCAGCAAAAACGAGTGCATTGTCACCAAAAGCGGGCCTTCCCATAACCTCGAAGATCCATCCCCATAGCTTATAGTTTTCACCCTATGCTCAAACAAGCCCTTCACAAATGCCATCCCGATGATCATTCCAAAAAACACAAGGACACCAACCCTTGTTTTCCCTTTGATGAGGGAATTGGACTTAAGCAATGCTTGTAGGCCTGACGCATCTTCCAACACTGAAATAACAATAGCAATGTTGCAAATAACTATGCAATTGGCTATTATAATTGAGAAGATTGCCACGAGTACAATGGAAGGGTATAAGATTGAATTTGAAGGGAATCCTGATATTGAAAACAATGTGGTAATAGCAACCAGGATCACAATGAACAACGTGAGACAACCAGAAATAGCAGTGCATACCCATAAATAAGTGAAGACGATTCGCTTCCAAATCTTGGTAATTATCACGTAGAACTTCAAGGCATCAAAATGTTCACGTGAGTAAGTACAATTCACTGAGTAAATAATGGCAGCTTTAGACAGCAACAAGGATGTAGCGCATAGAGGGAAAGACACTGCGGTTGCTACCACCATTTCCGAGAACTTGTGAACAAGCTGTTCGATGAAAGGCCTGAGTGAAATTCCACTGGATCTCAGAGCCAGCAAAATCCTTATCGTCAGTTTCTTCACAAGGGACTGATTCACCAAGACATTCGACAAAAGCAAGGCAGACACTGGAAAAATTAACAAGGCCATTATAGATAACAACCCCGTCGAATTGTACCGGAGAATCCACACTGTTTCTCTCAGAATTTCAAGCGGACTCATGGAACGGAAATCATGATCGAATCTTGACCCTTCTTTAGCTAATTCCAATTGGAAACTTTGAAGATCTGAGTCTAAGTCCATCGTGTTTTCTGTTGTGGATGGACTCAACCCAATAGAAGGTTCCATTTCAGAACAACTAGTTCAACAGTATTCGATTTTATTCACACGGATAATATTACCACTATGAACCTCGTGATCAATGGAAGAAGAGAAACAGTACCAATTTAAAGAATGGACTTTCAATCAAACTATCACGATCTGCACTTCAATCAGACCTTTGCAGCGACAAAAAATTCGAAGTGATCCGGATCCGGAGGTAAGTTCAACTGCGAGGAAGCAAATGCTGAAGAGTAATGATAGTTAAGAAAAGAGCTGAGAAGAGAGTATCAGACCGCCAAAAGCTTCGGAGGATACTCACGTGAACTAGCAGAGAGTATAGAATGAGGATCTGGAACTAGAAAATGGTCGGTACACGAATGGTTTGGATAAGAGTAAGTAGTGATGATGAACCTGTATTTTTATAGTCAAAATGTTAAAATAGCAGATCAAATTGCATTCCGAGTTATCAAAAAATTAATCTATAACCTCGATTTTCCTCCAGTCTACTCGTTTTCACTTACGCTCTTATCTTATATTTTTCTCGACTGCTCTCCCTTCTCTTCGCAGATGAGAGAAATATAAGATGAAGATAGAGAGAAGAGAGAGCATATGTGAGAAATGTAAAATGAAGAGCAAATGTGAAAATGAGTGAACTAGATGAAATTAGAGTTTATAGATTAGTTACTTGATTACTTGAAATACAACGATATATTACAAGAATAAATGGCACAAATATTACTACCAATCTTTTACCGGACAATTATATAACTAAAATTGACCTGGACATAAAACTGATCTCCTCGACTTATCCGCAGTAACTACGCAACATCCAAGAGAAGCAAGCCAGATCTATATCTTCGATAGCTTCTGATGCACCATAGCCTTCGCAACAACAACGCCATAGCCTTCACAGCAGCAACACCATAGCCTTCGCAGCAGCAACATCGTCGTCTTCGCAGATGCACCATCTTCCTGCACTCCGTCACCTTCTTTTTCTTCTCTTTCTCTGTGACGACATAGGGAACATAGGCAGTCGATTCAGAATGCTAAGGAGCAAATTCGAGCTTCGAAGGTGGTGCTAGGGGCGGTAGTGTTATTGATTCGTCGTCGGTGCTGTATATCAAGGGTTGATTTCGAATTTATCTCTGACATGGACTGGACAAAACTGAGCTTCTGGTTTGGTGATGGCGTGGATCGGGGGTAGGGTTGCAGACGGGGGTGGTGCTCGAGGCTCTAGGCGACCTGGGGTCTTAATTCGAGGTCTGGTTTGGCGATTGTGGTGGCAAGGTGGCAGGGGAGCGGCGACGCAGGTAAATCTGGAGGTTAGGGTTGTAGGTGGTGGTGCGGTGGTTGGGGAGCAAGGCTGAAGAGGTCGTTGGCCACTGGGAAGGGTGCTGGGGGGTTGTGGTAGGGAGGGGGGTTGAGGAGGGTGGGGGCAACGCCGGCGATGGCGACGGCCCCAGGGGCGCCGGGCACTGTGCTGGATGGGGCATGGGGTTTACCAGGTGATGGTGGGATGTCATTGTGGACGGGCTGGGGTGGCGGGTTACGGTGGCATATGCTCATTGGTCAGTCGTGGAAGTCACTATTTACGGGAAAAGTTGTAGGAAAGTTCTTCGGCAATCATAGTGACATGTTTCACGGCGGTGATGACACCCGAAAAAGATATGGAAATCGATAGTGATATTTAAAAGTGACAAAAAAATCGATAGTGACGTATAAAAGTGACATAAAAATCTGATAATGATATATTACAGTGACATAAAATCTAGCAGTGACTTAAAATCTAGCAGTGACATTATGTTTTTCCAAATATATGACCTTTTTAGTCACATTTTTGTCTTTTTGAAAAAATGGTCACATTTTTGAAATTGGTTTTAATTTAATAATATTGAAGGCAAAAGCCCATATTACAAACTAATAGTTTAGCCGGGTCAACTATTTTAACGTTTTAACAGAGCAAATGTACTTAATTGACTTTAAAAAGGCTTTTTGTCCTCAATATTACAAAACTAACGATAAAGACAAAAATGTGATCTATTATTTGTATTTCCAAAAATGTGACCAACTTCACAATTATACTCTAAGTGACAAAGTGATTCCGATCAAAGTAACTACGGCCAAAATGATTGCCCGTCCACCGGCCACAGTGACTGCCCCCAACTCCGGCCACTGCCACCACTTTCCAGTCGCCGCCATCTGGCCCACTTCACCGCCACAAAGACTCCACCGCGACAGTGACTCCGCCGTCACAGTGACTCCGTCCTCATAGTGACTCGGGCCACAGTGACACCGTACAAAAGTGACTCCGTTCACAGTGACATTGCCGCCGCTCACTCCGTCCGGTAACTGCCGCCCTATCGACTGATTGGCCACCCCTTCCTGCTCTCTAGACCCCTCCACCCCAGCCCCTGTTTGACTACCGCCCACACCCATCACCTAGCCTCCCCAACCCTCATGTCCCCTGCCCACCAGCCCAACGCACCATGTACCACTTTTGCCGCCATCCCCCTCCCCAACCCACAAACCCCTTTCATAGCCTTAGCCTCCCCCCCCCCCCCCCCCCTACCTTCCACTGGCCCAAATCCCGCCTCAATCCATCGTAGTACCCCCAATGAACCCCAATCCAGATGTGAACCCCAAACATTCCCCTCATGTGAACCCTAGCAGTTAGATTTGACATCTGGCGTGGAGTAGCAGGGAGACAACTGCTATGATGGTCGGCGGCACTGCTGAAGGATGCGGAAAAGGGCATCGAACGGAAGAAAAGAGAAGAGATGTTCGATGGATGCTGGGAGCGAAGATGGAGAGACGTTCACTGGGGAAAATAGGAAATGTTCGATGAATGCTTCGCTTTCGCTGGATAGTCCGTATGTTTTAAATGGGTTACATTTTTGGAAAATGTCAAATTTGTCATATTTTTGGAAATCAAAACTTTATTAGTTATACGGGCCATTTATGCAAGTTCATGTACTTTGTAATTTCAAGTGTAAGATGAATTACTACTTACTCCACTTGAAACAACTTCATGTATCATTTTCTCTTGGAATGAAGTAAGTTTTTTGGGTTAAGATAGGATGAAGCGGGGTCTCGAATGGTCACGTAAATTAGGGAAACATGTAATCTACTCACGAGTAAGGTTTCTCACGGTTCGGTACAGTCCTATTTTAGGGATGAAACCATTCGATACCATGTCGTTTCGGAACGTTGCAAAATGATTTGGTACAATGCCAAACACATGCTAAACTATTTGGATAATATTGCAATTAGTATATATCATCACACCATCCAATTCACATGAAATGTTGATACAAATATAACAAAGTGGATATTAAATACTAGGAAAGATTTATGAGGTTAAATTTTTTGTATTTAAATTCACAAAAATACTCAAATAGTGCAACACAATTAAAGAAAAATATAGCGAAATGACGATACACCCAATACATATCATCTTTATTATATTCATGTGAAAATATAAAGAGAATATCATCTAATTGTTGAATTTAATAGAAAAAATTAACATTCTTCTTCTTGGTTCTAATTTAACTCATAGTTGAATCATAAGAGCTAAAATTCAAAGTATAGTAATTAAGTTGTAAAACTACACAAATACTCCCTCCGGTCCTAACTAAACTTCACACTTTCCTTTTTGGGTAGGTCCAAAATAAACTTCACACTTCTATTTTTGGCATGTTTTTAACATAAAGTTACCCATATACCCTTCCTTTATTACCTACTTTACACTCACTTTCTCTCTTCCACTACACTTTATCACCTTTTTGTAGAGGCATGATGAGAAAGTCAAAAGTAAAAATTCCACTTTCTTAAAAACCGTAAAGTCAAACTATGAAGTTTATTTAGGACCGGAGTGAGTATAATACAACAAAAAGTGGTATGCACAAATTACTAGAAATTAATAGTCATTAATGATTTTTAAAACTTTAGCATTCTTTCAATATATTTTTAAAACTTTAGCATTCTTTCAATATATACCAAATATAACATAAATTATCTAAAAGGAAAAAATAACAATACTTATATAAACACACACATTTAGGACGTGTTCACTTTGCTGCTAAAGTCACAGTTAGGTTAGTAAGATAGGTGAAGTAGACACGCAGACTGCTTAAAAGTTGCTTACTAACCGAAACAGGTGTTTAGAGTGTCGCTTACTAAGCATACCACCCCTCATGTATTAATTAAGCAGCACTTTAAACTTTTTTAGTTTCCGAAATTACCCTTACCCTTACCCTTTGCCCTTACCCCTTACTTTTCCCCCTACCCCTGACAATACCTCTACCCATTCGCCCACTCCCTACCCTACCCAACCCCCACCCCGACCCCGTCCCCCGAACCCCTAACCACCTACCTTTCCCCTATCCGTATGTGTACCGTTACCCCCACCCTACACCTACGCTGCCATACTCTCAGCCCACCCTTACCTCACCCCTACCCCTACTTGTCCTTGTGCCCCCCCATCCCACCCTACTCCTAGCCCCATACCTTACCCTACCTCGTACCCTACTCTTACCCGCACCCCCTACCTTGATCAGTAGGCTTATACCACTACCCCCCACACCCATTAACCCCTAAAACCCTACCCCAACAAGGGTAGGGGTAAGGATATCGATATTGTACGATCGGGTAGGGGTATGGTGAGGGGTAGGTAAGGGTTGGAGTAGGGTGGAGAAGAGTGTGGGGGTATGGTCGTGGTAGGGGTAGGGGTAGGCAAGATTAGGGGTGGGTGGGTAGGAGTAGGGTGTATGGTTGGAATCGGGGGAAGGGTAAGGGCGGGGGTACGGTAGGGGGTATGGGTACACGGGTGGTAGAGGAGTAGGGGTAGGGGTAAGGTCGTGTTAGGGATAGGGTGTAGAGGTAGGGTTAATTACGCGTATTGTGTGGCCCCCACATATTATATTATATATTTGTGTACATGAATGTTTGTGTGTCTATATATGTATGAAGTTATTTTGGACATTTTAATGTAAAACGGTGTGATGTGAGTTTCCTCGCACTTAAAATAGATCGTAATATAGTTGTGTAAGTACGAGTATCATCTCCACGGGGATGGACAAAAGGGAAATAAAAATTAACTAAATTCAGCGATTAAAACGAAAATAAAATAAAAGCGTCGTGCGAGATTGATTGGTTGAAAATTAACTAATGCGAATGAGCGAATAAAAATAGATTGGCTTCTATCTAATTAACGACGAAGGGAACATGGATTGATTCCGGGGTAACCAGATTTCTGGCAGATCAAACCTAATTACATGAAATTAATTTAATTGAGCCTAGCTAATCATTACTAAGTTCTAACCGCTCTCGCGGTGTAGAGTACAATAATCTAGGGGATCAGACTGATCTCTCATGCGACAGGATCCTAAATTATTGTCAAAATGAGCGAGCTTACGGCCCCTTAATCGCTACTAATCTCTTAACGAACGATTAAGTGTGTGTGAATGTGTACTAGAATAAATTAGATCTCTCTTAACTCATTCTACAAGCAATTGTAATTCTAGTGGCCATCTAGGTTACAAGAGATATCAGTTAAATTATTCAAACACAAATTAAATGGCATTCATGCAATTAAACCATCAAGAAACTAGTCATACATCATGATTAGCCCCTTCATCAACCCAAATCCCTAATTAAACTACTCACAATTCATAATTGAAGAATCAACAGAATTGGGAAGAATAGAATTAATTGTCATCTATTCTATTCTATTTATATATATGAAAAGAAATAGCTCATTAAAATACAATTATGCCCTTAATGAATCCTATGTGTCAATCTCTCCACAATTTGCTCATTTCCTATAAAAATGTCATGTGGCTTTCTAAACTATAACTCACCAAAAAAAATTCAGCTCTCCTTCTCAGCTCTTTTTTACTAGATTAAAATTCTTAAAACAAATGATACCTTCCAATCAAATAAAATCCCTTAATTTTTTGAAGCACTACATCTTTTTATTTGTAATCTGATTGTCGCAAAAATCATATCAAATTTCATATTTTTTTATTATCTTTCATATGACATCAATATTGTATGTATAAATATATAAATAATAATTTAACTCTTTAATAAAACTCATGTTTTATAGTGTTATAACTTTTTCATTTGTCAAGTTTACCATCATTTTTTTCGTTCACTATTAATCTAGAGTGATAGCTTAGAGTAAAATTGCAAAATTTTCAGTGCAAAGAATAAAATAATAAATAAAAGTGATAGAATTTGTGCAGTTTTATTATAAGTTATCACTTCAGATTATTAGTGTGCACGGTAAAAAAAGATCATAAATTGCATACATTAATAGAATTTATATTTTTTATTTATATATTTCCTCTGTTTCTTAAAACATTATCAAGTTTGATCGGCATAGAGAATAATAAAGTAAAAAACTGTGTAATTGAAAGTTGTGCGGAGGAGAGGGAAATAAAAGAAATTACAAATCAATTGATTTGAAGAGAAAATGGAAAAGTTTTTGGGACAATAAAAAAAGAAAAGATGACAAAATTTTAAGCGGACAAATAATTCATTATCATTCATACGGCACTAATATTGCATATACTTCCTCCGTCCCTTGTCTTATCTTATACCCAAACATTTTCATTTGTACTTCAAGTAGTATTTATCAAAACCTTTTGGTATAAGATAAGATAAGCGGACAAATAATTCATTATCATTCATACGACACTAATATTGCATATACTTCCTCCGTTCCTTCAAACTTTGTCATCTTTTCTCTTTCTAATATCCCAAAAACTTTTCCATTTTCTCTTCTAATCATATAATTTGTAGTTCCTTTTATTTCTCTCTTCTCCGCACAACTTTCAATTACACAGTTTTTTACTTTATTATTCTCTATACTGATCAAACTTTACAATGGTTTAAGAAACAGAGGAAGTATATAAATAAAAAATATAAATTCTATTAATGTATGCAGTTTATGATCTTTTTTTAGCGTGCGCACTATTAATCTGAAGCGATAACTTATAATAAAACCGCACAAATTCTATTACTTTTATTTATGATTTTAT